GCATACCAACATTGTAGATTTTCATCGCCCCTCTGCTTCTTGTTTGTGGACCCTTGACAGCTGCACAACTAGTGCATTTCCGGCACCAATCTTCGACGTCATATTTGCAATGCAACCAATAAAACCTCTCCTTGATCTTCACCAAAGTCCTCCTAATTCCCAAATGTCCTCCAGAAGATCCATCATGGAACGCTTTTAATACATCCCTTATTTTTGAACGAGGCACCACCAATTGCAAATGCTCGTCCTTGCCGTTTGTTGATTCCCATTTCCTGCACAGAAGTCCGTTATGCAGCGTAAGGCTTTTCCACTGTGCCCATAAACCTTTCGTTACCGCGCTATATTGGGCGACGTCACTCCAACTTGGCTTGTTACCACTTCGTAGCCACTCCAGTATTGGTTTGATATCTGCATCTCTCTCCTGTTCTAATTTCATCGCATCGTCTCCCCATGCCTCGTCAACAGTATCAGTCCTTATCACCTTAAGAAAAGCAGTTTCCTTCTTGGCACAATGCTTGCAATCTTCCACGCATGGGCGTCTCGATAATGCATCTGCGTTGCCATGAATTCTTCCGCCGCGATGTTCGATTTCAAAGTCAAATTCCTGAAGTTGTTCCAACCATCTGGCTACTTGGCCTTCGGGATCCTTAAACTGAAGTAGCCATTTCAAAGCAGCGTGATCAGTTCTGATCAAAAATTTCCGTCCCAGTAAATACTTCTTGAAATGGTGCAGAGTTTTGACTACGGCCAGCAATTCCCTCCTGGTCACGCAATAATTCTTCTCCGGCTTGGATAGTGACTTGCTGAAGTAAGCAATAACCTTCTCCTGCTCACCATCGCGTTGTGAAAGGACACCTCCTATTCCAATATTGCTGGCATCCGTATCAACTACGAATATTCCTTTCGCGCTGGGGTATCCGAGAATTGGTGTGTTACAAAGCCGTTCTTTTAGTTCTCGAAAGGCTTGCTCACAATCCTCGTCCCAGATAAAGGCACGTTTCTCCTCTGTCAATCGATGCAAAGGCTTGGCAATGTCCGAGAATCCTTTCACAAACCGCCGATAATACGAGCACAATCCAAGAAATGCCCGAACTTGCGTTTTGTCTTTAGGTGTCGGCCATTCCTTAACAGCGGCAGTCTTGGCTGGATCAGTCTCAATTCCTCTCTCAGAAATAACATGTCCTAGATAATTCACTTCGCGCTTGAAGAAAGAGCATTTCTTTGGACTCAACTTTAAATTTGCTCCACGCAGCTTATCGAGTACCTTTTCCAATTTCCTTAGATGATCGTCAAAATCCCGTCCAACAATGATGATGTCATCGAGGTAAACTAGGCAAGTTTCGCCCAGCAGTCCCGCCAGCACCTGTTCCATCAAACGCTCAAAGGTTGCCGGTGCATTGCATAATCCAAATGGCATCACCTTAAATTGCCAGAGTCCATTCCCAGTTGAGAATGCGGTCTTTTCCTTGTCCTTGGGATCCAAATCCACCTGCCAATAGCCGCTTTTCAGATCGAGCGTTGAAAACCATTTCATGCCACTCAGTGTGTCAAGTGTGTCATCGATTCTTGGTAACGGGTAGCTATCCTTCTTGGTTACATCATTCAATCGTCGATAGTCTACGCAAAACCTCGTTGAACCATCTTTCTTCTTGACAAGCACGACAGGTGAACACCAAGGGCTAGAAGAGGGCTCTATCACGTCATTTTTCCTCATATCGTCAATCATTTCTTCAACTTCTTTCTCACGAGCGAATGGTATACGTCTGGGCCTTTGACGAATTGGCATTGTATCACCTGTGTTTATTTTATGCTTCACCAAACCAGTTCGGCCAATATCACCATCGCTTCTTGAAAACACATCAGAGAATCGAAGAAGTAAATTTCTAGCTTTCATAGTCTCCACTTTTGTCAGACTTTTGTTTTCGTCTAAGATTTTCGTTACAAAGTCTATTCCCGTACTGTCCTTCTTCACAAGATTTTCCGAGCATTTTCTTATCCAGGCCACTTCTTCCAATACGCCCACAGGCTCTCCTTCTTCAATCGTAATTTCTGAATCACTGAAGTTGAATACCGGAATGCGGTTAACATCAGATGACCCCACGACAGTTCTTGCCGGTAGCCATGAATTCACGTGTTCCGATTTATCAATCACAGCGCACCTTCGAGGTAAACTTCCTTCCCTCCTCCTAGGTAATGCGATTGGTACGAGAGTCTGTGATTTTGGTGCAAGAACAGTTCTTCTTAAACAGCAAACTTTTCCCAGGGTTCCGCCCTTCATCGGAATTTCCTCAGTTCCACATAGTAATACTCCAGATTTTAAGTCGATGTTACACTGGTGCCCTTGCAGGAAGTCAAGTCCCAGGATGCAGTCATCCAGAATTCTGGCCACAATAACCTCATGTCGATAAACACGTTCCCCAATTTTGATTGTTACATGCAGTTTTCCACTTATCGGTATGCACTGGCCGGTAGCTGATTTCATTTGTAGGCCAACAATTGGTTTAAGGTGTTTCCTGATGTTTTGCTCGAGCAGCCGAACATTTATCACCGTCCTTGAAGCTCCAGTATCTAATGTTAGCTGACTGTTTTTCCCATTTACTTGACCGTCTATCACCAGGGTATTTCCATCGTTAGTTTGCTTGATGTAGATTGTTGGGGTTATTCCACTACCAGCCAGCGCCCACCCCGCAGCCTTGGCTGGATTTAAGTTTCCCTGCTGGTCAGAAGTTGAGACCGCCGCGTCCTTGCGGTTCATCTTCTTCGGGCAGTCGCTCCGTATGTGCCCACGCTCTCCACATCCATAGCACATGAAGTTCCGACGGCGTGGAGGTACCTGCTCCGTTGTCGTCATTTCCCGCAGACGTAAGGTACGGGAGTTGCCACGCACGGCTTCCACTTCCAATGCATGGGCCAGAGCTTCTTTCATGTTCTTGTTATGGCCCAGATGAACAGCAGCTCGTACTTCGGGGTCCCGAATACCGTCAATGAACGCTTGGAGAAGCGTGCCTTCAATCATTGACGGAGTCGACCGGAAAGCTCGACGCACAAGTTTCTCGATTTCCACGGACCATTGCTGTAGACTCTCATTATCACGCTGAGTACGCTCTTTTAATTGTGCTCTGTACACGTGCTCGAGGTGGCTGTCTCCAAAACGTGCCTCAAGTGCGTCGAGGAGGGCACTAAAGCTGAGATCTCCACTTGCGCCGATAGCTTCCAGCACTGAGAGCGCTTGATCACGGAGGGCCAGGGTGAGGGCTGACTGTGCTTCCTTCTGAGTCCAACCATAAGCCTCCATAAGTGTCTCAAACTGTAGCTTGAACGCGGTCCAGGATGTTGTTCCGTCGTAATGGGGAATCTTGAGCCCTTTCGTTGCGCTTAAGGCCGCATTTGGGGCGTCAAAAACGGCTGCAAGACGGCTTCGGCTCTTTAAAGGGCTTGGGTTTGTCACTTCCTGCTTGATTTTGGAGATCTCTTCTTCCAATCTCTCCTCTATCGCCATGACGCGATGTTCCAACTTGCCTAAACCTTCCTCCACTTCTTGTACCCGTTTGACAGCCTTTTGCAGTCCCTTCGTGAAATCTTTATGCATGTCTTCCAAGCAACGCACTTGCTCCTCTTGGCGACGAGCTTGATCTTCTTTCAGCTCCCGCAGTTGTCCTGACTGACAGCGTGCTTGCTCTTCTTGGCGGCGCGCTTGCTCTTCTTGGCGGCGCGCTTGCTCTTCTTGGCGGCGCGCTTGCTCTTCTTGGCGGCGCGCTTGATCTTCTTTCAGCTCCCGCAGCTGTTCTGCCTGACAGCGTGTTTGCTCTTCTTGGCGGCGCGCTTGATCTTCTTTCAGCTCCCGCAGCTGTTCTGCCATCATTTGCTGCAGCTGTAGCAGAAGATCCACCTGCACAGGCTTGGCTTCTGCATCGCTGGTTTGAGCTGCAGCACCCTCTTCTCTCACACGCTGCGCTTCTGACATAGCACGGGTACTCACTCCTCTTACGTCCTGCGGCACTAGCGGCATTTTTCTCCAATCCCACTTCTGACACCAAATGTTACGTGCCTGACGTCACGTTCCTGACTATGCGGGCTTGGGTTACGGGATTGGATGAAATGAAACACTAATACCGGTTTTCAGACTTTCTATTGCGCTTAAGTTACAGCGTCCACGGAGTTAAGTTATCGGCGTTCCTCTCCAGCAGAGTCCGGCCGACTGACACAACTTTGCCGTTCACGCTAACTTCACTTAACTGACTGCACTTCACTATTTCACTGCACTTCACTATTTCACTCACTTTTCTTCTTTTTCACTTCTTCCTTTTCTTCCGAATCGCTTTAGACTTAGAACTCAACTGCCAGCGGTGAGCCGCAGTTCCGCTTATATACCCCTGGTCAGGTTCTAGAACATTCAATTTCGTTATTCTTTTTGATCGTCATGCCTCCAGAACCTTCCAATAATTTCGTTATTCATTTTTATTTATTCTCCTTCTCGCTCCTTAATTTTTCATTACTTTCACTCAAATATTCCAGAAAGTTCGACAAAACTTCCATCAACTAAAAAACTTCATGTTTACGGCGGGTCTCGAACTCGGGGTCTCTGTGGTGTAATCCACACACCTTACCGATTACACCAACTCGTGTTGACAATTCACGACGAAATTTACAATCTCTAGGCAACGTTTGACAACCATCCATTGACGTCATGATGTCAAAGAGTTTTCTGTCACAATACTTACACATATATTTTATACATATATTTTTATTTTATAGTAATATTTAATAATGTAATTTTAATAAATATATGTATAATAAATAAAAAAATATTGTTTTTTTATTGCATTACATAGGTATTATAGAGTGATCTTATAAACAATTTATTGTTGAATTGGTAGGGCTTGCGTAGGTTGGAAAAATCTGTATACAAAACTGATAAACCCTGCCTCTTATCCTGTATCCTAAGAGACTTTAAATTATAAATATAAGGTACTTTTTTTGTAAATAAAACAAGAAAAATATTAGATTTAAAATATTTATTTGATCAGTACACAGTATAAATACTACATAAAAACTTATATAAAATTATGCAAAGTTACGCCTAAATCTGTCCGCAGCATACAACCCAACTCCTAAATGATATAACTGCATAGTACCTATGTAGTGTTTTATAATACAAATGTGATAAATTCCCTCACTATTAATTTTGATCATTACATCATTACACTAAAGTTTAATTTATATTACTTACTTAAGTATTTATCCCCGACGTAAACTTACTATTTAGTCGTATGGGGTAATTGGCGTCAAAAACGTCGACGCTATCTCACTATTGAAAATTTGTGATTTCAAGTTAATATAATAATACATTGCACCATATGGCAATAATATTCAATTCCTAGAGTTATAAGATAGTCATCACTATTTTTAATTATTCCTAAAAAGAGCTGACAATCTAGACAAAGGAAACTACAGAATCAATTACAATACTATCATTATCACACATTAAAACTACTGAAATATTATTGCATTAATCCAGTTGTACTTGGTACTTTACCTTAGTTTAGTAACATTTTCAAATATCATTTAGAAATTGGGTTGTAAATATCACAATTTTAATGCCTTTATTTTTGGATATTACATTAAAAAGTTGCAGTATTTTTCTTACCTTTAAACTTTCTTCGCTATACAAGCAAAAATAGTACAGGCGATAGGAAAAAAGGTAGTAAGGAATTTTTTATTGAATTATTTTAATAGTATAAGTGATAAGTCATATGTATTAAAATATTGAAATAGTTAATTTGCTAGTAAGTGATGCATACTTTTACAATTGCTAGGTGTAATCTTACATATTTGGTAAAAAATAAAATAACTTTCAGTTATATGAATTCTTATTCATTATCTCAGATTTGCATAAGGATTATCATTCGATATTCGGTTATACTGAACAACTTATACCTGATATAGGAATATTCGGTATAAGTAATTGCCAAATATCATACATTGTCATTCTCAAATGAAACACAAGAAAATTATTTGTTCTACTGACAAAAAAAAAAAGTTTAAATTACAGCTTCGATAACACTGTCAAACATCTATAAGCGTCACAAACTCAAAACATATAATATGTCATAATCGCAAAAAATATTCATTAAATTGATAAATTTGTCGAATTCAACTGATATCTTTGAAACAAACGGACGGACAATATAGAGTAATAATTTGAATTCCATATCTTTTTATTGATATACAAACTCAAAATCACCGTTTTGCTCGCTAATTTGGTGAAAACTAATAACAATGATAAACCATATACAACGAAAGCAGTGCAATACAGTACAGTCACATAAGCTTATCGAAATTATTTCTTGTGTTCAGTAGCTTTTAATTCTTATCGAGCTAAATATCTATTATATTGTTATAATTCAATCATTTTGATCATCAGTATCATATTAAAGGTGTCTACTCACCAGTAGCTTAACTAAAAAAAAAACGTTAAACCTTATAACTCATAGAACTAATTTATACTTCTTTATTACTAAATTCTTCGCATGTTTTAGATATTCTTTGTTTCTATTCTATAGGGCATTATTACAGTAAAATTGTTCCAGTGACTTTTTTGTGTACATTAACACACATAATTATGTAAATTATGTAGTTGGGAAAATCGATTAACTAATGAGTATAGTCGACTAGTAGTGCCGAACATAACCCCAGTCACTTAAATTAATGCCAATAAACTCTTACACATCGAAACTACCTTTTCTACTTAATCTCATTCTTTACAATTAGGTAGTTTTCATTTTGCACTCTTAAATACATTGATTTTAAGAAAATATTACCAGTAGATGTCAAAATACTACAACACAGATACACACGACATACAAAGAAATAAGCGTTTCTATTTCTTCAGACTTATTTAAACACTAACATAACAATTAATAAATTACTTAGGTATCGTGATGGTGATGATAAAATGTTAGTTATTCTAAAAATAATGGACATCTCTTTTGATAAACCGAAATCGATGATTTTCGATGTAACAATATCTGTTGTTGTGTAATCTTAATGTAAAATGCAAATATTTATCAAAGCAATTATGTTGATTGTACAGAACATTATAGTGTTCAAGTTTCTTGTGTCGCTATCTAATATAACGATGTATTTGTATACAAATATTCCCTAAAACACTAAATTGCTTATTTCAAGAATACATTATGTACCAGATTTGTCCATATGACGTTCGAGCGTTACTTTCCTATAAACTAGTTTATTGCAGAAATTACATACTTTTCGGTTGAAATATCAACCTGTATATGTTACAGTAAAATGCTTAATAAGAAAATATGACTATATTTAGACTTATCTATTGCTATAGAAGTCAGGCAATCCGTTGTATTTGTGATGCATTAAATTTATTATACTAATTCAGTTTGTATGCCGTGGATTCACAACCAAGAAGATGAATATAACAAACGCTAGTGTTACAATGGAATCACAAAATAGACAAACAGTACGTTGTTCGTCGAGACTTCACTGATCACTTTGTTCACAATTAGCACTGAAGCACTACAGCCACGCCGTTTATTCCGAGCTGGAACTCGAACTAGACGGCGTGTAGCTGTAGTAATCGTTCTGCTAGGCGGTATTTATCTGTTCCACATTCAAATGAGTGATAAAGCGCAAACGCATCTGCAAAGCTGGCCGCAGTTTGCGAATAACACTCTCCACTTCGTTCTTCATGGTGTCGCCGACAAACATATATTTTATGTGATAGCTGTACAACTCATTAAGGACAATATTTATGTAAATTCGGTTGAGATACCTATTTCCACCCACGCGGTGACATACACCCATTGGACAAGTTGTTTTTGCATTGAAAAACAAGACATGGTAAAAGGATAGTTGGCTATAAGTACCTACTTTTTAAATATTAAGTACTTGATTGGATGTTTATTTCTACCATGGTTAGTTTTGAGGTAACTAGCAACTGGATAAAATAACTTAGAAAAAACCTACGTACCGGTCGTTAGCATCGACTATAATAAATAACACATAACGCAAATGTAAAGAAACCAAACAAAGGATGTTTAAAATTACACATATCCTGATAAATATGTAGCGAGTGCTCATGAAATATTGCAGGATACACGGACTAAATCATCCACTCTGCCTTTTAAATTGTCTCATATTTAAAATTGTTATTGCTTGATTTTATTTTTAAATTTTTGCATGACGGTCTGCAAATATGTTATGCATTCATGAAATTAGCAATTGGATACATTTAGGTACTTTACAAGTTGAAGTCCGCTATGGAGAGAAGGAGCACTTGGTCTTGAATAGTAATTCTGACTGATATACATTACTGCAAAATATTGAAGGCCATAAAGTTATAAAATATAACTGCGGGTAAATCAACTAAAATTTAAACCAAATGAAGAAGAGGGACATCAAACGAAGTAATTGCCCAACGAATTGGTACTTAAATACGTTTTTTAAAAGGATACAGTAAGTCACATATGGGATCGATGTATTGCAGATGTTGCTGGGACTTGTCGATGTGGGCCAGTAACTCGTACAGAGTGATGGTGATGTCCATTACGGCTCGAGACAGGTCTGAATTGAACCGTTGCAAGAACGGCCCCACCAAGTGGCACAGGTACAGAAGCTGAATCTCAGTGTGCACCTCCACTGACAGTTTTTCTTTGATAAATCTGTAAAAACACATGCTCAATATTAAGAGTGGGAAATTTACACGACTAAAAATTAAAAAACATTACAAAATTAAAAAAAAATGCGGTTCAGTTCGGTATGTTACTACCGAATGATAATAAATTAAGTATGTTAAATTATAGGCACGATGAGATTATCGACAGTTCATAATCTGGCTAGATAGGATATATGTTTACAATTTTACTTTGACATACAAAAATCATGTGACTAGATTGTATTAAACTCTAAAACTTGCATAGGTTAAAAAAATACACTTACTGCGGTACTTGCATGATCTGCCCAGCGCCTGCATGGTACCAAATGGCATGGGCCAGAGCCAACGTCAAGCTGTATTTGTTTTCCAACATGGCGTCATTGGTCGTAGTCAGATTGAAAAGTTGGAATGGTGTGTGAGGATAAGGCCATTCAGTCATTTCATTGTTTGTTATTAATTCCAGTATACGATCATGAAGAACGGTCCAGTAGGGATCTGGCAGGGCAGCCATTATCAGTCCAATTGCATTGATCCAAAGCTGGATCTTAGTAGGTGGTATTACGACAAAACCTTTAGTGATGACATCCAGGAGAGTGTTACCGACGAAATTCGGCGCTAGGGGTAGTGACATCAATTCCACACACGTCACGTACAATGCATGTGCCGAGGGATTTGGATATTCATTGAACCGCCAATCTGTATTAGGGAAGTGTGAGCTGCCAGTCATAGCTGTTACATTATTAAGAAAAATTATTAATTTCTTTTCTCCAGCTACTTAATTTGACGTTTTTGTGCTGTGGACTGCACTGATATAGGATTAGGTCTCGTTATTCAATCTACTGTCAAAAATTAAGTGATGCTAGCAATTTCTATATTGAGCAACAAAACTTAGTCTTAGAACGTCTAATGTGAAATTAATACATTACTCATTTCATTACGACGATACTGTAACAAAACTGGCTAAAGGTTGATATTTAAGTGAATCAGTACAGAAATATAATGTAACTTTTGTAAAAAGGATACTGTCAACCATCCGATTGACTAGGCTAAGATAGTAATTTAGGTCAGGTCCCGTCCAGGCGGTTGCTTCTACATCAGTTTTGGCAAGATACGCCTGGAAAGCCTCAGTGGTAGCCCATCCAGCTGGGCGCACCTCTTTCAAGGAACCCAGTACAGCATTCACCAATTTCCTCTTCAATAACGGCTTGTCGCGAAGCTTCGACTCATAATAGTGCAAGGTGTTGTACAAGAACGTGATAGGGCGATCTGTTAATAACAGTATGAAGCAGTAGTTATATATATATACATATTATTGTAATATAAAATATTATATTACAATAAAATATTCATAAAAAACTTGATACAAAAGATGTATTTCGCCGGGCGGTCCTAATACCTTAGGCATTGTCTTACAGTCGACCTTTATCGACTCTGGCTTACCTCACATAGGTAAGGCAAAGATGAGAGTGGCAGGTGACATTAAGTACTCAAAAGTCAATAAAATTGGTACTATAAGCAAAATAAAGTCAAATCATTTATTTCAAATAGACCACTTTGTGTGTGTCAGTCTGTCGGTCTTTCCTGTAGGCAAGCTATTTGCTCGTTACTCGATTTGTATACAGAAAAAGTAGGAAGTTTCTTCCTATTCCATTGTTAATCTTTTTATTTTTTTTTGTTACATCACTTAGCCGTTTCCATTATGTGAACAGTGTAACACTAATTTAGTCAAATAATCCGAATAAGCTCAAATATTTTAGCTAAGTTAAATATTGTATTTCGCGTCGGATTTTGTTGTAACATTTACAAGAATCCCATGAAGTACTTACTTGTACTTTTGCCAATCTAAATAAAGGCTGACTTATTAGTTTCACAATTAAATTTAAAGTACATACAACTCACCATGGAATTTATAGAGATATCCTAGATGTTCCAACAGTTGTTCCAGGTTCTTGCTAACGGATGGTATCTCTAGATGTCGGTGCACCACAATATCCAAAACGGGTATAAACCTGAGGCAGACGTTGCTCAGGTACACAGGAATAGGGCCTCCGTAAGCGTTGCTTGCCTCCTCCGGCGCGAACTTTTCTGGGTATTTTCTATGGAAAGCTAAATGTTTATCGTACCTGTAATACAAATTATAATATTTAGGTATATACGTCGCTTTTTTGCTCAAAAATACTGTCCGTCGTATAGAAAACGTGCACTCATAAAATGCTAACTAGTACTCATATTGTCACGCTCTGCATCAGTTTAAATTTGAGGCATTTAATTTAGTACTAAGAAAACGCAGGAATGATTAGTGCGATGTATTTTGTAGACCAAATAGAATACGTAGGTCATGTATTAGAAATAGACTGTTACAAACAGTATAATACCAATATAAAACAAAAGTTGAGTTCCTCCTCTAGCAAAACTTGTGTAATGAGTAGGGCAGTCAACAAATAATATTTTTACCAATTATTTTGTTTCCAATGTTCCGGTGAGTTTTCCTTTACAAAGTCCTGAGCTCGGTTCCTCAGTTCTGAGCCTTTCAGCAGCAGTAGCTGAATGATGTAAAGGCAGACTTGGCTCTCATTGCCGTCCGGGTTGGGGCGTAGTACCTGTGAAAATAAAGGATAATATAATATATTTTATTTTGTAAACACATGTTATGTTATTTTGTAAACATGTGGGTCTACTCGGGTCCAGTACACCGCCACATAACTAAGATGTTTACTAGTAAATATATAATGCAATACACAATATAATTTCTGTTATTTGAGATAAAAATAAAGTTTCACAACATTTCAAAGTCATATTGAAGACATCTGCAGCGGAGTGCAATCAAAAAGACGTATCAAAACTAGGGATGTTATGGATGTGAAATTACGTATATATAATACGGATTGGGTACGAATATAGGAATGATTATTAATATTTTTTATATTAGATATCCGATAGTTTCGGTTTCGTACCTCCCTAACATCCCTAATCAAAACTATCAGCAATTAACTCACCAAGCATAAAACAAGCCTATCAATGGTAACAATGTTGTATTTCCAGATGATGTCGTTAATCGCGTCGACGCACTTGTTGATATGAGGCCCGCCGGCCGGGTTGGTCACTTCGAACACGAGGTAATCACAGAACTTACGCAAGTGCGCTGACAACGCCCGGGCACCGATGCGTTCTAAGATTCTGGAATAAAAAGATACAATAAGATCTTATTATTATTAAAAAAAAGTTAGTTGATGTTTTTCGTTCTTCCAAGTCGCAATGGAACAGTTGCATAGTCCGATTTTTGGGTGTAGTAGTTTCTGAGAGTTGCGAAAATTTATAATTTGATTTTTATCGAATTCGAGGCAAAGGAGCATGTTATTGTTGTGCTCTTTCAAAATGTGTATTTTACAACCTCCTATGAAGGCAGCTGTTTCAAAATGGAGCCTCATCAGTTTATTTACAATGAATTTGATAATTAAATAAAACTTTGTTGTAATTCGCGTATTTACATTTTTTTGACGCACGCTAAGCCCTCCTTTATCAGTCTGTTCATTTGATATGAATATACATATATATCAATTACTTAATACAAACATCGTAATCGTAAAAAGTTCGCTTTGCTTTAGCATCAACAGTCGCTTTTGATAAATATAATTTCAATTCAACATTGGATAGTAGTTTTGGTCTATCGCTTGGCATGTCTTTTTATTTAATTGTGTGTAAAAATGTTTACGATCAGGTATTTGCCTAGCCAATGTTAGCTAATAAACGAAATTTTAAAATATTAGAATGTATTTTATATACCTACGACCTATTTAATATAATTAAAAGACATGCCAAGATAGCTTTAGGTAACTAAAACCCATAGACCGTAGTATCAAACCAATAGACATTTCATTAGATCTATGTCGAAGAACAAGTAGCGTTATTATATTTTCTTTTAGGAATGAAATTCGTAGCCGGGAACTAAGTGGAACGACCGTGACCTACACAAATTTTCATCCAAACTCTTGCTCGAGTCTTACTTTTGTTGAGAAAACTTTCTTGAAAATTCAACCTATTTCTCCAGCAATAATACCTGAAGACGTATGGATGGATGTCTAAATGGCCTACACAATCTACGCTAACTTTGGTAATAACTCGATTTGGGTTGATAGCCGTTAAAAATCCAGAAAAAAGAAAAATCTTCTCGTAGTTCGAAATAGGAGATGAGGCTTTATTTAAATCTAGCAAGGGCTGGTACTCTATAGGTGGCACATTGCCGCGTCAAAGTCAAATCCCCAATAATATGTGAAGCAAGTTATCTCGTCTTATACATGTAGAAAATTGTTTTTATATATTAAATTAAAATAAATAACTTTGAGAACAAAGACACACTCTGGCGAGCGGTTGGACTGTTGGTCGACGAATTAACAATGTAGAACATGTAATAACATCGTTAGGGAACATAACGACACCTAAAAATAAAAACTCACTTGAAAGCTACGGGATTGATTCTGTTCGTCTCAAATATCATTTTCCATAGCAAGCACAGGAAGAGTGGCGTGCCCGGTACTGAGAAATGTGATATAATATCATTATCGTTAGCCATTGATGTCCATTTGCGGTACTCTTCCTCAACTGATTTCTTCAGCACTTGCTTATTCTCTTTAGGAGCAGGATTCTGAAATTGAAAGTGTATGTGTATGTAGGTAGAAAGCACATTAATTATAAATGAAAATGAAAAATAGATTAAATTTAATGTTTCATAGATTATATATAAGCTCCAAACTGTAAATATATGTTCAAGTGCTAAATATTTCAAGCATTTTATATATACCTGAGCAAAAAATTCAACCAGCATAGGTGGGAAGCATTGCAGCGTATGTTGGGACCACATATGCGGCGTGTTTGTCATGATCGTAGTCAGGAGCTCTTTCACCGCAGCTCCGTCACTGCCTGTACGTGGCAAGCAGTAAACATAGCATTAAATAAATACATGTAAAGTTTGTTTCAATTAGTCAGTATTTTTGAGATAGGTCACAAAGTGAACACTGGCTTCATTTCAGCGACTAAAAATCATTTCATTATTTCATTTCACATTAATGTTTGAGAAGACAGCTTGCATTTGATTGTTACTGGAGGCAGTAACAGGGAATATATAAAACTGTATAAACAACACGAACAATACTTAAGTAGTACAAAAGAAGAGGAAGAAGAAATATGTCACCTCACAAATTTTGTGATAAGTATCTGTTCCAACAAATTCATAGGTAAGTACATATATCTAAATCTTACCAGCTCCCGTCATGTAGATCCCACGTGCTAGTGTCAGAACTAGAACTCGATTCAGCTCCTCACTTTCAGACGATACAAGCGACTTTGGCTCAGACACTACTCTGGACATTTGCAACTGCACTCCGGAGCTGCCCAAACTCGTTATCAATCTTAATGCAGTACTTTCAAAACTGAAAATAGAATGGTACACATTTATGGATAGACTACACGGTTAGCGTAGGGATTGGTATTGATAGTTATACGCAACTACTATTTGTGGTATTAACAATGCAATAGTTCAAGAGCTGGATGTAATGTGTATGTAAAATTGTATATTAGTAAGTAGACACACCTATCTTTTTTTTCTTTGTGTGTTTTGTTAGACAATTTTTTGATTGTTACCTAAAACTTACCAAAGTTGCAACTGTGTTTGATTGGCTTGAGGGTATGCAGCTAAGGAGTGTATGTTAGAGAGAAGCGTCACCCTGTAGTGCGGCTGCACGTGGTGGATACGGTACGAAAACATGTCCAAAAGGTTATGAAGGATACCCCAAGCATGAGATTTGAAAACATTCGGAAGTAGCTGATCTGTGAAAGAAAACATAAGTTATTAATTGCTATTTTAAATAAACTTATGAAACAAGTCTTTCTAAAACATTTACAATTTACTTACGTATAAACCCTTTGATCCCCATCGACTCAATTTCTGTATAAACCAGTAACCGGCTATAAGTCTCCACCAAAGCAGGTGCCATCATGTTGTTTCCTGGTATATTACTCTTATTCTGAGCTAATTTAGCAACATGAGTAACAGTGGAGTGAATAAGTGACATTTTACAATGTAAGGTAAGGCTGTCGAGTATACACATGGACAATGGTACTGTGGGCAAAGGAGTGGTTGGATTCCCATTGGGCATAGCTTTCTGGCTCCCAAATAGTGTTTCTATTATCACACCCATCGGTCTGGCGAAATACTCCTGGTTTGTTGAATATGCATTGCACAACAAAGCAATGCGGTAATCGGAACCCATCAATGTTGGTGTATTATTTGATGTAAACAAATGCTGGAGGTACCTGCAGAGAAAACAGCAATATAAATTATTTTATCCAAACAATACTTGCACTAAAAACTTGAAATAAGAAACTGATACATACTCGTACTGTACTTTTAAATTTTGTGGCATGGACATAGTTTTGTGTTCAGTTTCGGCTTTTTTCAACAAGTGCATCCAAATACACACTACAGCCATTTGATGTGTGCAATGGGCCTTCGTGCAGTCAGGCACTGGCAGAGGTTCCTTTTCAGGATACAGCAGTTCATAAAGTTTTATTATTGGCAAGAAGTTCGACGATGGATTTCTTTGAATACTTCCAGATATGAATTGTAGTAACACCCACATAAGGTGATCTCTTCCTTTCTTCATATCATGGCCAATTAATTTGCTGTGAAGACCCATCACGATGTTTGGAAAAGAAGCAAATCCAATAAGGATCAAGTATATGACCTGGGATGACAAATGAAGCCAACACCAGTGTGATGAAGACATTTCATCATCTTCATTCTCTTGTTCGCTTCTTTCCATTGGCAAAATCATAAGTTCGACTAATTGGTCTTCTAATGCGATACAGCGTTGTTTATGCTGTTTCTGGAGGCCAAGCATTGAACACATCATGTCTCTAGAGTATGGTTGTTGCAAAACATGTCTCAGCAATGAAATCTGGGGCTTGAGAAGCTCTTCATCATACGGCAAATTACCCTTTAGAGAAAACTTTAAAGTTGTAGGATCTAATCGCCATGGATTTACAAGGTGGTCGGCATAGCCCGAAAACTCAACAACAGGTAACATTTGTGAATGTCCAATAATAGAAACCATTTGAGCACATGGTTTAAAACTCTCCACAAAGCTAGAAAGAAGTTTTGCCAGTTGCTAAAAGAAAATAAATCAAAATGAGATTTTTATGATGTAATAATGTTGAACATAGAAAATGTATTTCACTACTTATACATACCCAGTGTGGCCAGTGATTATTACCGGGGTAATCTTTTTGAATCTCAGTAACAATAAAATACGCAGGCAATAAGGAAGCATTCCTGTCAAATATGTACTCTATTACATTATACAATGCTTTCAGCTGAGGCATTGTACTTGAGTTAAGCCTAACTGGTAATGTGTGAGCCTTTTCTCTGCATCCCTAGAAAATAAAATACAACAAAAATTATGATAACATTGCACTACAAAGACAAACTAGAAAAAACTATACATACTTTCATTATTTCTCTGACTCCTTTGTAGTCCACTCCTCCAATAATTCTCCTGATCAAATTGAAACTTTCAATCCAAAAGTCAGCATTTTGATAGGTTAGTTTTTCATTGGTCAAAATGCAATCGCATAACATTCTGTAACAGAATATAAAATCTAAACTATGTAGCACACACAGCTTTGACACTAGAAATTTGACAAAATGTTAAACTTACAATTATGGTAATCCAAGAAACAATAGTAAGACAAGTAAAAAATATAAAACACTAGTCATAAAATACCTACCGAGCCTGAATAACATTTGTATTCACTAAATTCTCCAAGAGACCAAGCAGTTGCTTCATTTTGTAACGGTTAGTGAGCACGGCTGTAGGTGTCAGGTACTGGCGTAGAGCTGATTCCTGCATCTCTGTGCTCAGGTGGGTCATAATGCCACTAAGTCTCTTCTGATACATTCCTAACACCTCATTTTCTTCCTCTGGTTTATGCACTAAGAAACAACTAAAAGCTTCTTCTACTGCTTCAACCCTCTGAAAATAAATTGTTTCAGTATAGCCTGAATAGTGGCTGCCTGCCTAGTGCACATACATTATGTTAGTAACTTTCTTTATACTTATGTAGGTATTTGTTTACTGCCTGCATAATACTTATTGCAACTATATGTAAAGAGATAATCAAAAACTTGGTTATCTATCACATTATTTTCATTAAAAATACAAACCTTATACCACTGTAAATTTTAATGTCATAATAAATGGTATAATGTTTGATATGGAACAATACATCATACGAGTTAATAAATAAATAATGTGAATGAAAGTGTCGTTATCATTATACAAATAATGTAATTATCTAAACATTCAGGATATAAAGGGCCATCAAATATAAATTATATTACATTTGTAGAGGTAAAATTTGTAAGTTTGTATGCAGGAGATAATTTTTGGAATCACTGGTCGGATTTCCAAAATCCATTACGAATAGATAGCTACAATTTTATGAGTGCTATAAAACATCACCCTATGGCCAATATGAGCTGAGCAGCTTGTGAAATTGTGCTACAGTAGCAGGTGAATTATATTTTTATAGATAATTCATCATGTCAATTAGCTGAAGAGATGTTTATCTTCTTAACTGTAATTTTGTTTAGTATCTGTTTTGTAACAAGTGAATCCTACACTCTTAAGAGAGCTCTAAACAATGTGCGTTTGTAAATGCTGTGTGAAATCTGCATTATGGCAACATGAAAACTACAGAATTATAGTTGTAATGCAGACTGTCTGTCTAAATTCTAAGTATAGAAATAACCAATTTTATACAAAGAAGGCCATTTGTAGTAAATTCATGTAGGTACATACATATTTATTTACATATATTTAAAACTTACCAAAATCTCGCTGACAATGCTAGCGACTGGGGAATCTGCCATCTTCGTGGTTCTATAATATCCGCTGTATATAAATCACTTTACGCCCTAAAGAAAGGATCAGACGATCATAATTAAGACATGGCACCACAACATTTAACAGTTTGCCGTACAAACAGGTGCTTAATCCATACGCTAGGTTACACCAGAACAATTAATTTAGACACATGTTCCGGTATATGGAGGAACTCTATTCAGTTCTTATTACAATTTCATTATTAAGAAAGCTTAAGAACAGCTTTAGAGTTTAATACAGCACAATTAAAAAGAAAGCATCCAAGTTTTGTGACGGCAAGCTGGCTCAGCCATTGACAGAAACACAAGAGTGACAACAACAGTGCCTGACACGATAGTGACACTGACAGACAGCAAAGGTTTGTTTTGAAATGGTTTTAAAAGAGGAAGGAATGTACAAGAGAAAATTTTGGGTTTGTCAAGTTTTTAAATTGAAGTTATCCCGATTGTTTATTAATTTTAACGAAACAATAAAAATATTTTTAATGCTCTAAGGGCTAGTTTTTTTACCTGATCTGAGGATTAATTATGATAAGACATTGAAAGCAACAATTTTATTCCTCAGATAACATTTATCTGACTATTGAAAAATCAGACCTAAGAAAAATAGTACTCTATTTTTTCCGATAACGAGTAAAGTTGGCTAATAAAAACTTTAGACCGTAGAAAACACTTGCATAAACAAAAATTATTTGCCCTTACCCTTTATTTCAATTCTTGATAATATTGCTATTTAAACCTACTTATAATTTATAACAAAAAAACCGACTTCAAAAAGTAAAGAAAAAAGCAAAAAATAAATTAACTTTGTACAAAGTAATACATATTTTTATTTAGTTTAATAGAAAATAACATTTGTCAACATAAATAAACCATATATACGGTAAAATATTATAAAACTCTAAAAAATCCAAACTTAATATTATAAATGCGAAAATAACTCTGTCTGTCTGTCTGTATTTTCTTCACGTTTCAACTACTGAACCGATTTCTGTGAAATTTGGTACAGATATAGTTTGGAACTCGAGAAAGGACATAGTTTTTATACAAAAAATCTGCAGGAAGTCACTATTCCATGCAAACAAAGTCGCGTGCAAAAGCTACATATAAAATTATGACGTGATTGCTATATGGTAACGAGTTTAAACTCAATATAAAATAGTGTCGCACTGACAACATGGTATCAATCTAGAGTACATAAACAAGAGAATGTACATAATATTAATTTACTACTAACAACATGAACCATCAGAAATAAAGATCTTACTTAAGTACATTTAATTTCCAATTATTTCATTTTAATTATTTTCCATGTTTAGCTTGTCAATGTGGATTTGCGATCTTCAGTCCAGATCTCCTCACTATGTTATCCTTTACCTTTTGTCATTTCGGGTCGCTTCTCATACATAACTACATAAGTCTTTTAGAGTTCGTTTTAGTTAGTATCGTAGTAGGTAGTAGTATAGCTAACCCATGCAGAAAAACAACATAGAATCTTTTTAGCAAGCATCCACAAAATGAGGATTTGTATATTTGTGGGTATTTTTATTTGGTATATTAGGTAATATATAGTTATATACAATATGTAAATTTGGTAATTTTTGTTTGCCTTGTTCTATGCTAAATAAATCCATATTTTTCTCTCTTAGTCGCGATTTTCCTCAATTTTTCTATTCTTCTGCACAAGGAGAAAATTTGAGCTATTGAGCATTAATTGCCATGCTTGGTTAAGATTAGGTACTGGTGGGTGCTCCTGACTTATCCAAGTTCAAGTGTGCACATGGTACGGTGTTTTCCTTAACCGATTGTCAGTGGTGTATTTAGAAAGTAGGTACATATTACTCGGAAAAACTCATATTGCTATTTTCGAACTCAAACTCATACATGTGAAACGAGCACTTAACTTCAGATCCACCACATGGTGAAATTGCAGAAAATTGTGTTATAAAACATGTATTTTTAAATTTACCGCTCTTTTTTCGTTCCCCAGATTCTATTATCCACCACGATGGATTTCTCCAAAACTAAATTACTTACTGTTTTTTGCTACTTAAATTATTCACTCTTAGTTTTTGGATAGATTTATTCTTTACCTACTAAGAAATAAAAAATTTCAAAAGGAGTATATATATTCTGTGATATTAACTGTCAAAATCTGCGTGAAACGGAACTAATATTTGTTTGAGAAAATACTCTTTGAAATTAGTACATCAAATCAAGCTGTCATTCGTGGTTTATTTTCGTCATTTGTGAAGTGTATTCATTTCTTTAATCTTGGGGTCTTACAAAATTCTTTGTATCCTTGAAATTTATTATAATAAATTAATCAAAAGAAACAAGAAGTCAGAAGAAAATACAAACTTAATTTGAAAAACAAAAAGCTAAATTCCTTTGTATGATTTCAAAGTTTATTGTGTTATTATTTTTTACGTTTCTGGGACAAAGTCAAGAATGTCTAGATAGTAAATGGCCTCTGCGTATTGTGATTAGACGTAGAAACTTGTTGTTGTGTTGATATTGTTATTTTACTATGGCACATTTTGGAAAACGCGATGTTACCTACAGCGCTCTCGACAACGAATTAACTCCGCCACTTGCTGCACTGGCGGAAACCACGAATGCAGCTCCAACTTTTATAACACTGGACCACGAGCATGAGGATGCTAACAATGTTATCATCCACAAAGTGCCCAAAAACAAAGGTAAGCTATTAGTCACATGTGTTTTTGTGTGTCTTTGTTCACTTTCCATGTGTTATATTATAAAGCTAAAGAATGTTTTAGCGTGTTATTGTTCATGCAAGGTTCTTTGAAATTATTGCTGCATCATCAGTTAAGGTGGCTATTTATAATTGCTTTCAATACAGCTTTAGTTGTAGCAATCTTGTTATTAATAGGATGTTATTTTGTTACAGGAGGATGGACTCACATAGAGGATCTAGACTCATTTTTTACAAGAATGTATAGATACTATGTTCGTGGTGGATTTTATCCAATGATAATGTCCGACTTGTTTTATTTGTTGCAATTTATTTTCATAGTGTGGTTTTCCACATTTTTGGTGTATTGCGTAAATTATACAAAATTATTTAGGAATGAGCCAGGTGCTGATAGAACCCAGAAAATTAGTTTAAATGATGTTATTCTTCCACCAGACGTATGTGTGAAGAATGTAGCCTGGAAATGGTGAGTAAAAGAATCTAATTTTACTTATTTATATCCATAGTTCTTTGTTGTTTGTCTCTAGTATGGCTATGCTGCATATTTCCAGCAATAATTTTAAGTTTACAAAGTTGCCAATGCAAATTCCTTATCCTGTCTTTGTTACATATTTCCATGCAATACATATTATTATAAAGAACTGAATCATTCAGCACTATGTCTGAGCTACATTAACTAGCAATGCAACCTTAATTTGTGCTGTCAATTGCTATAAATTGGCCTTTCAACCATTGCAATTAGGTGCTATGCGAATACAAGCAATATGTCTATGTTGAACTAGTAATGAAGAATAGTTTGTAAACTCTGGATGTATGCCAGAAAGCATATTATTTGTGTGTGTGCATATTTCTTTGGGAAATACTAATGTTTGAATATATTCTAGTAAACCACAATGTTATTGTATTTTTTTTACATTTGTGTGGCTTGTTGTTGCAAAGCATTTCTGTCAAGCAAGGTAATCTAAGATAGATTTGCTTCGATTTCAATTCTGAGGGCTTCTCATTATTTTAGTTTTGTTTTAAATATTCTTAGTGTTTTATAATTATAACAAGTTAGAAGAAGAAATTGTTAGTAGAAGCTGACAGGATTATGACCATATCTGAAATATGACCAAATACTTGATGGAACTTACAAGTATAGTACAGGTTCAATTCCTGGCTATAAAAGAATTGTAAACTTTTTGATTTTTTTATACTTAGTAGTAGCATAATTCCGTCATTGGCTGGCGTGGGCCAATATGCTCACCCATTAAAATACATAATTATACAATATAAGAATCATATGTACTTTGCAATTAAAAGGTGCACTTCTTCCTCGACCTTAAGCAATCAAAAGGCAGGATATTACATTTTACTTTAAATGATTTGTTTTGTCGGTTTGTTACTTGTACAATGTAGTGTTTTTACAGGCAAAATCTATGTAGATACTACATTTTATAATTTAATGAACTTAACTGATCTGCTGGCTATCTACTTATTATCATTTAAGTTACTAAACAATGCAGTTAAAGTTTTGTTTTATTAGAAAAATAATAAATCATGATGATGCAAATAAATAAAATGATTATTTATGATAATTTTGTATTTATTCAAGTACTTGCTAAACTAGCGAAATCTTATGTCTGTACCATGCCTAAGCCACTGTCCATGAGTTGATATTAGTTGATAGTTAAATAATTGAATGCAGTATTATTACATGAAATGTCATATTTTAGGTGGTGTCTCGTCGCACTGTGTGCTGTTATTTGGCTGATGAGGCTAATTATATCAATATACCATTTATATTATGCCTATGATACCAAATTATTTTATAACAACGCCCTAAAAATTAAGGAGGTGAGTAACTTAATCACATCGCATTTTTAATGGCCAAACGTGTGTAAAACACCATGTAGTTAATGGATCTAAATGTAATGTAGTATGTGGCAACAGTAAAAAGCTATCATAAACCTGAAAACTATGTGTGTGTAAAAATGAATACATAACTAATTACCAAAAACAAGGCAGTCTGGTATTGAATCTGCAAGTTAAATTATGAGTAAAATATTATTTGACGGAAGTTTTACATTAATGAATAGGATAAAATGTTATTATAACACGTTTTCGGTATTTCAGAGTGATTTAGTTTGGATCAACTGGTCTACGATTCAAGACCGAGTACGGGAAGCCCAACCGGAACACCACATGTGTGTCCACAAGCAAGAGATCAACGAACTAGATATCTATCATCGAATACTCAGGTTTGTAGAAATTGCTTCATTTTTTAACCGACTTTAAAAAGCGGATATGGTGTTACTTTTATCAGAGTATTGTCACCATTTTGGTTGTAACTCAAAATGGCGGCCCGGTCCGAGTTCCCAACGGTTGTTTTTCTTTTGCTTGTCCAATCTATGTTTTATGCAAACCTCGTCCCGACAGTAACGAATGCAACAAAAAGCCATTGTCCAATTGTAAGCAGCTGTTCAGGAGTTATACGTGTGCTTAGATTCATTTAGGCGAATATCAATAATTGTTCTTTATTCATATATCTCTTATCTCTATCTATCATCTGTCTTTGTTATGGTTTTGTATTAAAACCGATTTTTCATCCCAACATTAATAGCAACATAGATCTTTTTAATTCGGTATATTATAGTGTATATACATAGCTACATTTGCTAAAAAACGATTTATACAAGACCGTAAAAGAACAAAGAAAATCTTTTATTGAAAAGGTCTTAAACTACAAAAACATGTAACATAGCTGTTCTGACTTAAGATGCGTCCCCGATTGAGTTCTTTACTCTTCTTTGACATGAATTATGCATAGATTAGTTAGTGCAAAAACAACAAAATTTACCTGCGACATCATAGGCGTGTCAAAACGCTTGTGCGTCGTTTACGCGGCGATTACAACCCAAAATGAAAAGTACGATATTATGTAAAATGCAAAAAAATGGCATCCAAAACAAAGGATCGCTGGGGCTGGGATAGCCATTTTCAAAATGCAATGGCATGCCCAAACCCAAACATGTGGAACAATACTTTTTTTGTTCTATTTGGTAGATAAAGGACGTCCTTTTTTATAATATTTTTTTCATTCACGGACAACGGTCGGTTTTGCTTTATTATGCATGTATAGATTTACAATGTTTATTTAGTGCACTCTGTCAAGTTCTCCCTTTATCTGTATTTATCATTGCAAGAGTTTATTTACTCCAGAGACAGAGTACATATTCATTATTATATGTCCTTAACAAAACAGTTCCTGTTTACTTGTATTTACGAATAATTTTTAATATTTTGAACTTCTTGTAGATGCATTGTATAGTATAAAGTACCTACCCATCATCTACTTAGAAGATGTTTAAGTTACATAGAAATAAAATATTTATATCTTGTTGTCTGAATACGAATATTTGTATTTATATGGTTAAGTACCTTTGTCTCGTTTACACAAAAATAGCTGCAATAGAACTGAATTACATTTTCTTTTGTAATATTTAGTAAGAATAGCCGCAGGCAAATAGCTTTTACCTGCGGCTTTGCTTCTCCAATAGACTTCCTTTGATAATAAGGAGAACAAAAGTGCATTCTGCTCAGCAGTTTTCGAAATTTGCTCTTAGCACATTTAGCGTTTCTTTTTTTTGTTCCGTTTCGTAGGTACCCAAAGGGTAACATCAGAACAAAAAAAAAAAAATTATATCGAAGGCCATAACTAGAGATATTTAGGTGCTTTTTATATTATATTATCTGGCCTGATGCGTTTTGGTATGTTCGCTGTGTCTATCCTACTTGTTACATTATAAGTAAAACCGATCATAAAATAAAATACAGAGTAGGCCCCCTTGGCCTACCCTGTATTTTATCCCAGCTAAAGAACCATCCTCGAACTTACATAGTCCATTGATTATGCCATTAAAACTACCTTACCTTGGTCAGCAAGAAATATTTTCAAAAATATATTAAATAATAGTGATCGGTTAACGAGTAAAACAATTATTGCCAAATATTCTACGAGTATGCTACTAGTCGTCCGTTTCGTGTAGTCTAAAATAGTTCTGCCGAAATTAAACCGAATTTGCCCAAAATCCCTGGATGAAATACGTCTCTATGATTCATATGTATGTCTCTTAGAAAGTCATGGGACTTATGAGGACAGTGTTCAAAATTTTCTAATATATAGCGATTTTGTGTAAATAATATTCTCTTCTTCTCTGTCTTTACAGGTTTACAAATTATATGGTGGCAATGGTAAACAAAAACTTACTTCCTCTGCAAATACATGTGCCTTGTATTGGTGATTTTCACTATTTATCGCGAGGGTTGAGATGGAATATCGAGTTTTTATTATTTTGTAAGTATCACATATCTCTTGTCGATTCATTCATTAATTTTTTAACGTGTATGCAAGTAATTAATATTAGAATATCCTACTTCGATCTGTTTTTATACAGCTTAGCATAAGAATAGCTTCATCATCGTTCGTAATTATAATTATTTTAATTACCTATAATGGATTGAATATTTGAATGATTCTCAATTCAGTCAAAACCATTTGTGTAAATAACAATACATATTCGTGGGTACTAAAAGCGACCTAAGTTTTATTTTATTGTTTATTTCTGTCTGCAGATAGTCCGTGGAGTCCATGGGAAAACTGTTGGCAACTTCGTGCATGCTATAAGGATCATTCAAAACGAATGTTACTTGCCCGTCAGCTTGAACGACAAATATTATGGTTGGCGATAGTGAACTTACTGCTCGCGCCTCTTATACAGGCTTGGCAAATTCTATACTTCTTCTTCAATTATGCTGAGGTTTGTCCTTTTTTCTAATAGAAACTAAGCTTAGTATAATTGCCACTGAGTACGTCAGCTCAAAATAATACAGACAATTTTAGTATTTTAGCGCATACGCATGTTATAATTGAATAGGCTCCTAAGAGCTTTTCGTAACGTTTACCGATCACAACAGAAACTAACCAAGTACGCAGCGTATATTTTAACGCCCAAATGTGTGCGAGAGGGAGTGACAGACTCTTGCTGATTAAAAACTACCTCGTTCCTTCTTGCCCACCTTATTGCGCTTGCCTCGCGACTCCAGTAAACATATTTATTTATTGAGCTTTATGCACAAATATTTTGGTACATAGACGGAGGCCACGCAGTCCTGGCAGGCATAAGGCCAATACATCACTAGTTTTTAGTTTCAGACCTCGTTCTAATAAAAACGAATGTTTGTTTTAATATGTACACTTAATTTACGAGTATAGTAAAGAATATTTTTTCTTCTAAGTGTTACATTAAGTTAAGCATTCGTGTTTATAGTAGTAAAATGTCCTACAATTATGTAAGAGTTCCTATCGTTTGTGATACAAAGGTCACCATCTAACTTTATGAGCTATTTTAATTTTTGAAAAGAGACAATATAATTTTGTATTTATGGAGGTTTGTAATTGTATATAGTTAGTTATCTGGTGTGATCATATTGTTTGTCCATTATGTTTATTAGACTAGTAAGCATTCTATAAAATTAATAAATAATTAAAGAATTACGGCCGGTTTCCCCTAAGTACTGCGCCAACCATGCTTGAATATAAATAGATACTTACATAGAGTTTATGTTATTGTAAACCATTATAATAAAAAAACACAGGGATCAACAAACACAAAAGGCAGTACAATTGGCCGTCTTATCGCTAAAAAGCAATTTCTTCGAGACAACCTTTCGATGGAGTTAAACTGTAGAAGAATAGTTTAATTTACAAAATAGCTTCAATTAATCCTTATTACATTTCTATTGTATTCTAGTTAATAAAACGTTCGCCCGCGTCGCTTGGTCTCCGAACATGGTCGCTGTATGCTCGCATCACACTGCGTCACTTCAACGAGCTGGAACATGAACTACGAGATCGATTGAACAGAGCCCACAAGCCAGCCACTAAGTACCTTGGGAGCTTCTCATCACCCATTACCACTGTAATAGCCAAGTAAGGTATTTTTTCTAACTAGAGTTATAGAGATTTTTTACCTACAATCTCTAATTGAGCTTTGAAACTCCTTTGTTAGTCCTGTCCCAGTGATTGGCCTTTTTCGACACGGATATGAAGTAAGCACTAATCACTATGCTAGCTTAAGGCGGATTGATGGTTTTCTCAAGAAGTTTTTCCTTACCCATTTCTTTCCCAGTGATGAGTAAATAATCTTAGTTTTTATTGAACACTTTATTTGTGTATGTTTGTAGTCAGTAATAGATAAACATGCGATTTGTAGATACTTTTTGCTAATTAATTCATTAACCATGAAATTGTGTTAAAATTGTAGTTCCAGTTTTTCCAAAACCGATTTTGATTTCAATGTGCAGCGACGTAGTTAACCTGAATTGGTATAAGTGATAACACCAGTTATTGTTTATAGGTGCACTTAAATTAGGTAATCTAAACAAGATTAATAGACATGTTATTGGCAAACTAGGCTAGTGTCACGCGTGGCTCGGGTGATTCATAATTCATTGACTCAACGCAAATATCTTCTAGTGTTTCGTATAAATAGCATTCAATTGTGTTATCTTAAAATAACAAATAGTCGTAATGAAGATTTGATTTATATAGACTTTGATGTGTAATTAATCAGTGCACAATATTGTTATTGATAATAATTAAACAACGCGATATTATTAGGGATGAATCGCAAAAATTTCAAATTAAAAAAATACACATAATTTGAACCACTCGTGTAGTTGAGACAAAATAATAATATTTTCATCATTTTTACTATCCCTTTGCTGGAGAGGATTTTTGTGTGTAGGCTTAAGACATGTCATAATATCTTATGATAAACAGATAACTGAGACACGAATGTCAATACAAAAACATATGTAAGTACAGCTACATATAATAGTCGTAATTACTAAACAAGATTACGTCAATACAACACATTATACAACCGTGACTTTACAGAAATTGTAACAACGCCAAGGTATTTTATTTATCTAGTAAAAATATACAACGTTAACAACGCCATGTTATTTTTATGTCGCAATGTATTTTTGACTAAAAGAAAAGTCATGCAATTTGGCACCAATTCCGTTACTCGATTTACCCTGAGCGAGTGTTGGTTGATGATGTTGTTAGTTAGTGACGTCACCGTGGTACATTGTCTGTATGAAGTTGAATTATTATAAGTACTATAATGCCTTAAATCACGTAATTATAATGTTTGCTAACTAAATTTTGATTTTGGAAACTTGTCTTGAGTTATTAAATTATTAGTAATCCCTAATCCTCATCGTTGACAGGCATTGTTTAACTGTATGTATACAGTAATTGATTTACAGGCCCAGGGTTCGAAACCTGGCAAGTACCAATGTGAATTGTTTTCCGAGTTATATGTACTTTCTACGATATTTAGAAACCATTGACAAACGGTGAAGGTAAACATTTTGAGGAAAGCTGGACTTACAATTTCTTACGATAAGTTTGAAATCGCCAATCTGCCTTGTGCTCAATGCTCAAATCTTCTATTTTTGGGAAGACGATGTGATGTGTAATATTTCTCTTTAGCTTACAATCATCATTCGACACGAAAACACATTCCATAAATTAGCCCCGTGATGACTTGGAAGACAGGTAGACATGCAAATACAATTGTACATGTTTTTATATTTGTTGAATGTTTCAGGAACGTCGTGTTTTTATCAGCGAGCATACTGGGGGTGCTAGTTGTGCTGTCGGTGTATGATGAAGATGTACTGACAGTGGAGCACGTACTCAGCATCATCACCATACTCGGCTGTGTTTTAGCTGCTGCCAGGTTTGTATTATCTTACTTAACCTTTCTTTAGAACTCACTGTTATTGCGATTGAAAAAGGAATAAAATAGCGAGGTTAAAATTTTCATTAACAAAAAATTTGAGGCAAGACAAATAGTTTCCATATAAATGCACCGTAGTCAACTACGTATTTAATGTAGAACGAACATTTCAATAAGTTTCTGACTGTTTAGACAATTTTTAAGATTGACAGTGTGGTATCAATGCATGTTAATAAATAATCACTAACCGTAAAATTTGTTTTTTTTTTTAATATTAGGTAAAAAATTACGACTTGATTACATTAATCTTATTTTTCTTCTAGGGCTCTAATAGGGGAGGAAGAACGTCTGGGTGGTGGATGTACGGGCCCCGCTCGCGGTGAGGAGCTGTTTGTCCAGGTGCTTGGTCACGTGCACTACCTGCCCGCCGCCTGGAGAGGACGCGCCCATACCAAGGACGTCGCTGCCCACTTCCAACAACTCTTCCAGTTTAGAGCCGTCAGTATATTTCTGCTACTCTTATCTATACTTATATTATAAAGCTGAAGAGTTTCTTTGTTTGTTTGAACGCGCCAATCTCCGGAACTACTGGTCCAAATTGAATTTTTTTGTTTGTGTCCATTAGTCCATTTATCGAGGAAGACTATAGGCTATAAAACATCACGCTAAGGTATGTAGAAGCTGAGCAGCGGGTGAAAGCGCGCGAGAATAGCTAGTAATAAAGAAGCGATCCACTCCTGCTTGGAACGGGTGGCCAAGTTCCTCGATGTTATTAGCTTGTTTTGTAAGCCAATCGGCACGGCATAGAAATGATTACTGATATTCCCTTCTACTTTTCAAAAATTTTCTATCATATGCACCTAGTTCTGGCAATTAGGTAATCGATTCAGCTGTTCTCGATATACACTTACAGCTATTTCCGATATACATATGTACGCTTAGCTATTTATTTTTATATTGTAAATGTTGTTAAAAAAACCACCACAAAAACTGGCTTTTGCATCAAACTTCTAAACCAATCGAATTGCATTTCTTTTTGTTTTGTCGTGCTTGTTTGGTGAAAATAGTATCGTTTTAATACACCATTTAGACGTGTGTGCAACGTGGTTAGGTTTTCGTTGAATTTATCACAATTATTCGCAAAATAGCTAAAGAGATATTGATCTGATTTGAATTTTTATATTTAGTCGATGGTTTAACAATTGGTGCAGAAGTTTGTTTACAAATATTCCCACTATTAAGAATTTATATTATGATAACATTTATCTCTATATTAAAAGTCTTAATATTTTAAAAGTATATTACATTGCAAAAGTACAATAATAACTGTAATTTAGATACAACAGTGGTCATGCTAGTTTTGGTAATTTCCAATTTTGATACTTCACTACCAAATAACGAAAACCAGTTCATACAAGTACTCTTTATTCAAACATAATTGATAAAGTCATTTATGTTTTGATTATAATTCAAATGGTTGATATTTAAAAACTCAAGAATCATATTATAATTTGGTGATGGTTTGTTTATTTAAAAATATGGGTACTTATTACAGATACATTTTCTATATAAATTGTAAGATATATTTATAACAGTTATCTATAGAAGTAATCAGGCTTTTCAACATAGGGTACAGTACGGCCGACGTATCTTGGCGAGTCTGAAGTTAGCCGTTTGTCTGCGCAATGGATCTGTTAGGAACAAAATTGTGTACTGCGCAGCTAATCGGCTAACTACAGATTTGCCAAGATACGTCGGCGGTATTGTACTCGTTCTAAGACTTGTTGCTAAGCGCCTTATTTACTATATATACTATTAAACATACAATTATATCTCTTTATAACAGGTATACATCTTATTCGAGCTGCTAAGTCCACTGCTGTGTCCACTAATATTGTTCTCGCTTCGTTCTCGAGCACTCGACATCGTGGACTTTTACCGCAACTTCACAGTAAGCGTATTGGGCATCGGCGACGTTTGTTCATTTGCACAGGTAAGCTTTTCGCCTATCACGTGACCTTTGTAGAGAAAACACAGCTAATTTAAATTTCCAGTCTGCTAGATAGCGCCAGACATAAAAATCTGAAACACATGTACCTAGGTAAAAGTACGTAGTAAACAAACAATTATTTACATTCATAAATAAGCTAATTAATATTAAACTAATAACTTATTTTTTCTTTTAGCTGGACATCAGACGACACGGTCACCCAGACTGGCACACACCCGGGAAATTGAAAGGTTCCTATTGTTTTTCTTTTACATAACATATCTAGGAATGTGATGAAATCAGTTTTTCCTAAAAATCTACCTCGGTTCCAGCAAATAAAACTAAATGCATGTCATTACACTGCTTACATCATTAACTAACTAATATTTTTATATATATTTTATATAGAATATGTCCTATTAAATAATAGTCTAAATAGACTTACAGGAAATTTACAATAAGCAGTAAATACATCTCTATTATAGATACATCTATATATATTAACGAAACAAATGTTTCAGGAGCCACAGCGAAAACGCAATACGATCAAGGCGAGGGTGGTAAGACGGAGCTGTCTTTGGTGGCATTCTCCTGTCGCCACCCCGGCTGGCAACCCACCGAGCCATCACAGCGACAATTCCTTCGGTCACTGCGTCAAAGCATGCACCATGCTATCCCCGCCAATAACCATCTCGTAAGTAAATACTATACTAATATTATAAAGCTGTAGACTTTGTTTGAACGCCCTAATCTCCGGAACTACTAGTTCGAACTGAGTAATTCTTTTTGTGCTTGTTTGAAAATTTATCGGGGAAGGCCATATAACAACATGCTTCGATCTGAAGAAGCAGAGCAGCGGGTGAAACCGCGCCGATGTAGCTAGTATAATAATACGTCAAAAATAATTTACGGCTCGCACGTTTGTAACATTTTTACTTAAAGACATGAAAACATATTTGTAAAATAGATATCCTAAAATGAAATAAGTGTTATGAATAATATATTTATGTACACACACATAGCATAGCAGATGTATAGAGTTATGTATGTGCATTTGTATAACTATTTGTTTTAGAACAAGACGATGCTCGGCTCGTACATCCAACAGAGTCTATTTGGTGCTATCACGCCGTTGCCAGCTGTGCTCTCTTATTACCCACAACAGAAGCAGCAGTACAGATTGCCAGTAAGTTTCTCTTTTACTTATATAATACGTACATATGTTATATATTTCATCGAACTATCTTTATGTTCTCGTTCTGAGTATGTATGACATACAATACGGTAGTTTCCAACTAGTCAAATTCAAAACTTTTATCTTTTTTTCTTATTGTTTCTTTTTTATATAAGTTCCTTAAAAGTAGCGAAAATATGTTTGACCTAATAAACTCAACTCATACTTAAGTCATAACTCATAATAAACCCAATTACTAAACTCTCAACAATCGATGACGTCATTTAAAAGTTGACTGCATGGTATGTCACGCAGAGGTGAGCTTGATTTTTAAGAAAAGAAAAAAATAATAGGAATAAATTTATTTAGCACACAGACACACAGTGCAGAAAACCACATATTCAATAAAACATTTAAACAATAATAGTGAAAAAATAATAATTAAAAAAACATAAAGAAAAAACATACGTGTCTCACGAATTAGTAATGCGCATTAGCATATGCTACAAATATTCGGGATGTCCTATGCTCAGTAAATATAAACAAGAAGCGAGTAACATAACATACACATAATCAATTAATGTAAACTCACTTCTAGTTAGTCTAACTCAAATTTATTCCTATCTAAACTATAAAACTTAAACCATCTTTAAAGGACATGGACGAGACAAGTGACGAAGACGACGCCCCGCCCGCTGGTCCGACGCGCTCGACCCAGTCTGACGCTCCTCTCGGTCTGGCAGGAGTCAGCTCCGTGCTAAGTACCAGCGTGCTTAGCGCGGAGGCCCCGAGGCAGCCTGGAGACGACACGCAGGACATGTCTGTTAGCACACTGCATCTGTATGATCTGCATCTGACTCAGGTATGTGTAGTGACCTGCTATGCTAGTCTCATAACATAATTTGCGAAATTACTTTTGAATCCGCGGTAAAATCATGTTTATTTAAATCTACTTTGGCGTTGCCATGTGAATAACGAAGTGAAATGAACTAAAACAAGTGAGTATTTTGACGTCTGTGTACAGGCGAGATGAGAAGCGAAGTGATGTGTAACTTTCAAGATGAGATTAACCGTTTACAGAATAGCACCGCAGTTTTTTTCCAAAAAATCTATCCATAACATAATAAACCTGTAAAAAAGTATATCCATGTTCAATATATTCCAGTAAGACAAAAAGGAAAACTGGAACTGAAATTTTAACCGGGGGGCTCGGAAGCGAAGTCACAGGCTGAAAATAGTAAATAAAATTAGTTATTGGTAATACTATGCCTTGGCTCTGTACCAGGGTCCCGCTGGGAGAAAGCGTCACTTCTCCACATGTACGTTTTGTGCATGAAGTATTAAAATAAAATATCATAAACTGTTGATATTGATTTGGTATTACCTTTCCTAGAGTACCATCGTAGATACAAAGGTACACGTAAAATTAGATAACAGACGCAAATCTGATCAGTATTAGTAATAATAAATGTAAGTTTTATTCTACTTACTTTGTGGCCAGGTCCATTCTCGAAGTTGTATTTTTGTAAACTTTTTCTACAAGAACTTACAGTTTCTCTGGTATCATCAGTTTACGATATAGATATCTACTCTTGTTTTACAAAGTAAGATGTACACTTTGGTCCACTACAAAAATAATACATTAGTAAAAGTGATGTTTAATTAACGTTACAGGCGGGCCAGACCGTATCGTGTTGTACCAACAAATGCAGCGAGCGGCCGCGGACTGGGCGATGGGACAGCGCGGAGGGCGAGGACACTCCACTCCTCCACCGCCCATAACACCGGTGCTCACTGTCTCCGCGTGGTGTCAAATATCCCGTCTGGGTATAGACTACCCACGCTATTTAGACAGTCGCTCCACAAACTTACTCGTAATTTTATCACTTTTTACTATCACTACCTTTACCATTAGTTTAAAGCCTGCATCGTTCTAAATTTGCCATACAAACAAATTTACGTCGCTTTCGAGTATCAACAAATACAATTGCTTCAAACTTCTGGTAGAAGTATAGTTTTAATGTATTTGTCCGTACACAAGTTGTAGCGTAAGTCGTATAAGCATATCGTATACGCTTCGTGCATACATTGTACGTGCGTTCCATAACAAGCTTGCGCTACGCTTCGCGTGCGAACGAGTATTCTGATACGGCATCGTATGCATGACATTGTCCTAGCTTTTCTAATGTCATAGGAAGCAAGACTTTTAATGTTGCCATAATGTTCTTGTGCGTCAAATTATACTGGCGAAGGTCATATGTTTTGCGTACAATGCAGTGTACATTAATCCCTACTTTTATTTCACCATTGATTTCTAATTAGGTATAAGTATGTTACGTTTTGTGTCCAGTTTGTATCGACTTTTCTAATAGCGTGTGGTATTCAGTCTGTACTGAGCGACTGACATATTATTTGGTTATATTTATTAATTTTGAGTAAAGTTGTCCATAATTTTTTATTGTTCCTTAAACTAAAAGCAATAAACCCTAGAACCACACTTTCGGCTCACTTTGCTCAAAATTAAGTGTCAGTGGGAAAGGGTTGCCACCGATTGGGGCATTGTTGTCTATAGGTTTATATTTGAGGACACACTAGATAATTATTAGGTTGTAGAGCGCACATTATTTAGTCTCCCTATGAGACTCGTATGAATCTGTACAGCACGACAGGTCGGAGTTAGCACGAAGTTATTCACGAAATTCGACCTTATGTCACTATACTTAGTACTGGACAGCACACGATATGTTCATTATGATCATTTAAATTTGTATTAGTTTGCAAGGGAACAATGAGTTAGTTATATTTAGGTTACGAGCCACGCACTTAGCGTGTGCTAAAAAAAAAAGTTTAATTCGCTCCATTACTTGACACGAACACTACGCGTGTCTTATCTCGAAATCACGCGCTTCGTAATACAACACTTCACGTATTGTTAGCTGTTGTAGACATAAATGTGAAAGCAATATTATTTTAGGTAAATTCATAGTTATTAACAGGTTAAACTTATTCCAGTGTATCGTATGAAATATTTTCTATAGTTATTGCATATACTTACACATCTCGATATTTTTATAGTCATATCACTAAGAAACATTACGCAAACGTATGCCTTATAATAGATCGTCATTGTTATTTTTCTACATGATAACAATAGTGCCTAAGAATACAATCCTTATTCGAAAAAAACATAATAAAGTACCTGTCTCTTGTTAGAACACCAAGGAATTGAGAATGGGCAGGAGCTAACATGGCTTTAATACATTTGCATAAATACCTTATACCTGGATCCTGAGGTCTTTCTACGGGCGAACCAATACACTAATGTGAGAACAGTTCTTTTGTCGTATGGTTTAGAAATACAGTCAGTATTAGAGCTTAATGATATTAAATATATAGCAACATAGAAACAGCTGACAAGTCAAGTGCGCTTCTTATGAGTAAAGTAATTTAAACTGCGCGCATTAAGTACCTGTCTTAACACGGCTTGTTATATTATCCGAACTACCTTGTCTTCCGAAGCAGAAATATAAATTATAAGAGTGATACTATTTTATAGCAATTTAGACTTAAACTTGTTATACAATACTTTTTATGAATATTTACAACGTACTTTTAACTGTAGAAGTTGTTGCAGTCTGCTGCTTAGTTTTATTTAACGGCTTCTATACAGCTGCAGGTAGAGAATGAATATTGTATTACAAAAGTTGATAGTACCAATGACAAAGCTGTATTCTAATAATGATCGCACCCTGACCGCCTATTATACCAGAAACAGCAGCGAAGGTATATTTTGATGTTAAACAAGTCAATTTTATAATATGTTTATTTTATGCAAGGCTTGATATGTGATTGGACAACTTACTGATACAAGTATAATACATTCGACTGCTCATTGTCCTCGCAAGGGAATTCCAGTAAATCTGGATGACACACATACATAACAGCACCTACAAATACTCTACAAATACTATATAAACAAGCCATCTTAGCCCCTGCACCACTTAGAATTAGGTGTAACTGATTCTCACAAAAATGTTGACAGTGCCTGAAATGATACGCAAACAGAACAAATGACAGCAGTGCCTATAGTTCGTATCGCGCTATTTGTGGTACAAATGTTATATTCCTACTGAACTAGAAACGATTATATGGATCCTGTAATTCGCACGCCTAGTAACAAAGATTAGGTACACCTCATTAAATTGTTGCATATTTTAAATATTAGATTTAGATGCAGTATATAACGAAGTTAGCTTCAGTAAGTAAACAGCAATATACATTATAATAATACAAGTTACATTATATTTTTACATACGTGTCGGTTAGGTCCCTGTTGTAGGGGAGGTCTTCGTTGTCGAGCTTCGTCATTCATGATGTCTAATAGAAAGTAATAGTGATCATACACTTACTTTGTTAATTATTTGTAGTTACAAACTTGCTAGATGACCGAAGTACAACGGCGGCGAGCAAGGCACAGATCACACGCTTACCTTTACTAAAATCAGACATATCCATAAAACAATTGAAGGGTACCGAGTATTCGTTTGAAAAAATCGGATTCTATTTTCCATAGTTCAATTCTATGATTTTTACTGCAACAGATTGCCTTTATATTAGAGTTGGATTCATCCTCTCTAGACCTCACTCAGTCTGCAGCTTTCTGCAGTCTCCTTCTGAAGCATTATCGCAAAAGGTGACCCCGGCCTGCCAATATGTTGAATCCACTAGTACAGCCGAAATTACTGTGCGCAGTTAAAAACTATCGCCTATTTCGATTACAAAACACCCTTTTTCAGATTTTTTTTCAATAGCAATACTCCAGCTTCCATCGCGTTTTCTTGTCCAATTGATTCAGAAGTGTGCCACAAACAACGCGTGTTTGCGCTCAGGGCGCGCTGAGGTCTTATGGCACCGCAACTCCTTATGACCTCCCTAAGTAAAACAGTTTTACTACTTAATAATCAAAATACTGTTATAAATATGTTTCTAATTACAAACCAAGGTACAAAAGTAAGATATGTTAGTAGTGCTAGTTACGCGTGATTTTGTAGTAATGTGAGTAAATCGTATGTAGTTTTATTATAAATATTAATCAAATTACTAGAGTAGCAATAATTGAGCCTCTTCCATTTTTTCATGCTGAAGTCTTTCTTCGACGCTAGAAATTTGTTAAAACCTACGTTGTGTTCGTACTTTGTTGATCTAGGTAAATGAGTTACTGTTCTAAGTAATACATACGAGCTTAAGTTTACATGGAAATGTTTTGCTCCTTTACGAGCTATAATATAATTAATGTTTTATACTGTCCTTCTAATGGCCATCTTATCTCTTCATGTTTGTCATTATACAATTATTTGTTGATAAGTTTTGACAATGGTTTGTAATATTGAGTTTCTTGATACGCAAAGTTTAAAAATGTCTGTGGCTTCTACGAGTTTAAAAAAAGTTAATGTACATAATGTACTAACACCCTAATTCACAGTTGAACAATTTCTTGTTATGGATGGGTTCAATCCCAATTTTTAACCCCCGACGGAAATAGGGTTATGAGTTTTTCGGCCATTTAATGACACTCAAAGACACAAAATAGCCTGTAGAAGCCACAGAATTATTATTCTGTTGCGATACTTGTTACCGTTTGTTATAAATAGCTGTAAAAATTATCTTCGCAACGGTTGTAAGAGCGTTTACTTAAGTATTATTACCTATTTAGGTACTAGACCCGTTTACACGTCATGTATAGGGGTAAACAATACAAACTTATTTTGCTTATTGCAAGTAAACTTTGAGGACATCCGATATTAGTTGTGATCCCATCCATTAGTATTTTTGAAATATAGAACACTTCGACCGTTGCAATCAACAGATCAAACATTTCTTATGACTTAAGCGTAATTCTCTTTATGAACCACGGTTTAAACGGTTTTTACGAAGAAAGATTGTCAGACAGTTTTATGGGTGTTACCAGGGTATCAACAACGTCCTACAGTCAGCATTAAATATATTTTGCCTATTTATTGAGGTTCACTTAAAGCGCCATAAATATCGGTACAGTAACTAAGCATTCGAAATTTCAAATGGAACAGTCATTAGAAAATAAAATGAACCACTATACATCCTCTTATTTAAAAAAAGTAGTCCTGTATTTTCGCCATTATTGACATTATTTTATTTCTTGATTTTAGTTATTCTGCAGCTAACCGAGCTACTTAGTCTAGTTGTTATACCGGATGTGCACGAAATACTGAAAAAAAGCGACACATTACCCAAAACTTATGTTACTACTGATAACACAAACTTACTAAAGTAAATTTTTCAAATGTTCGATATTTTTGTATATCCATAATGTTTCCATTCCATCACCAGTTTGACTATAACCATATTTATCTATAGTAACATTTTTGTATTTCGTTGAGTATCTAAATGTACCCATATTTTTAATGCTGACTGTACAATCCGTGTCGCGTACTTTGACAGGTATACGACGATCTCACGCCATTTTAAGTCTTCCATGGTTCACTGAAAATATTTTTAGCTAACAATAAATACCGAAGCCTAAGTGCACGCATCCAAGTTTTTATTCAAATTTCTACCTATTTAATAGTACACACGAATATTTTTATTTTATAGAGTATGCTATGTGTACATTTTGTACATAACAAACGCCGTATTTTTATAACGCTTCGAACGTTCACGAATAGATAGTGAAATGGTAGCCTATATTTTTCATATAAATACTACATATAATCGATAGTCCCATAATTATGTCGTTGCACATGTCTGTATCTGCTAAGTTGTGATAAATATAAACTTTACAATTTTGTATTAGCATTCGGTTTAGTTGTGAATATTCGATCTCTTGCTTTCTTTTTGCCGGTCGGCGGTACTCAGACATAATCTATAGCTAGTATTTAGATCTTGGTATACAAAACTTCCATTTACAAAAATATAAAAAATGCTTAATATCCCATTTAGGTATTAATCTAAAACCTTTGAATCCTGATAATGTTCATTACTATCCACCACTTATGTGGTTTATTAAAAACACTTACCAGTTATTATTTTATCTTATAACAATATTTTGTAACAGGGGTTAATATCATATACGGATTATTATCAATTAAACTGTTACCTTAATTGTAATTAGGGTTTTAATTACTTTTTAAGTCATTAAGTAGTCGTGCGTGATAGTAATACTTTATGAGTTGTATCTTGTTATGTGTGCAGTATCGCGTTTAAATCTTGCAGTTATTGTAATAAGGTTTAAAATGTAGTGTTTTAAACTACAACTGTAAGGTTTCAATGCGTTACTGTATACTGTGTGTAGGAACTTTATGACGTATGCGTGCATGTGTACGTCTCATTCGATTTAACTGGTGATTGGTTGCACTAAGCAGCGGATGTCCGAGAAAAGGCCAATGTGGCCTTCGCCAAATTGTATTCGTTTCAACAGGGCAATCGCTATGAATCCAAAATAAAGTACCAGACATATGTCTAAAGGTTAGATTTGATTGTAAATTAGATATTACCGTTTTCTGATTTATTGGAATATATCAATAACGCTTATTACGATTTTGAACGTAAAGTCCATAAAAATGATTGAAACAGAATCATTCTCCAATGAAAGATGATATTTGTTCTACGGTTTTGAGGCCTTGTTCTACATTTTTAAATCGATTTGATTTTATAATAATTTTAGTTTATTGTCTGATATTGTAATAACTGATGTAGAGCATAGTATTTTACCTTATAAGGAATATGTAATATTTTAATAAAATGGCTTATTTTCGTAAAAGCAATTTAAAATTATTAGTATTATAAATTTTAATAAACAAAACATTATCTTACCTCGCCTATGAATATGCACCAATTAAATTTGTCTATAAATTATTGCCAAGTAACGGTCAAATGTTAATATAGCAGAAAGAAAAGTCATGCCTTCAATAAATAATCTGAATTAGACTACTGCTATATTATAGACTAGGTACGTCGGGCGCACTATATACCAGTTTGGATTGCTAGAAGAAACAGCTTGAAGTTCGTAGCGATTTTAAAATGCTTCTTTGGCTTTGCTATCAAGTAAAGATTGCGTGGTGTAATAAGAGTGCGCCCGCGTACCCCTCCAAGCACTCCTCTTAATTGGTCAGCGCACACCACTGTGATAACATTTTCATAAGTTGTAGTATTTATAATTTGAAACGGTAACACGGCAACCAGATTGTATTAAAGGATCGATAAATATGAAATACTCAATCGCTCAATGTGCGAGTTCGCCGTAAAGTTGGATATTTACATTTATATGTATGTATCGTGATCTTGTGTTGTAAAGCTAGACGTGGTTTGTGAAATTTATAAGACTAGATTACAACAAATATTTTTTATCGAATGCTAATTTGTAAATATTATACAACGATATATTTGTTATATTTACCTAATGTTAATGTAACTTTCGTATCTTTATTCGCAAGAACTTGACACTCACATATCTTTGACGAATTGCAACTGCTTCTATTGGGGATTCATATAAGTTTTTATCCTATTATTTTTTTACTCTCTGAGTTTGTACAATACGGGCAGTGCAATACGAGACGTGAAGTGTCAAGTTTATACTCCATTGGCCCCTAACCCTGGTAATAAATACTTACGCCAATAATTTTATAGCCATGACAAATACCATTTATATCTCAGATCATGTTATGAGAGTAAATTAAAATTTTCAAAAAAAAAAATATATAATAATTCAACTGAGTTCTGGTACAGAACAAATTGTCCCTTCTTTCTATGGAACTCGTTATATTAGTGAACCGTTTGCTTTTATCCGTGGATCGCGATAAAGCCCACTTTTTCTCATGTTTAAATATAAATTTCTTAGTCGTTAGTCTTGTGATGTGTTCATTATAGTCTATGGTGCCATGATGTCAGTGGCGGATCCAGGAGAGGTCGATGCTCCTCCTATCTGAAGACTGGGTCCGGCCTGCGCGGTGTAGGCACGCTAAGTATGTAGGACTTATAATCTTTCGATGTTAGTTGGGCATTCGGCCTGAATTATTCTGTGTATGGATGATCGCAGTCTTCTACCGGTATTTTTTATATTTCATCGCGGCGTGTCATGGTTTTAAGGGAGCCGCATGGCACATGGCGAGCCGACGTCTTACGTTAACTTTATATTAACCAAATTTGTAAATATTTAGTTCAATTTATGACATAAGAATATTGTGATAAATAATTATATATATTTTTGTCAACTTATCACGTAACATTATTTTAAAATACACACTTTGTTATAATCATTATTTTGTAATATGAATGAAGGATAAAGCATTGAATATTTCAGTACCAATGTTCGCTATTTTCATTACGCGCATTGTAAATAAAAATTTCAAATAATTATTGTGTTTTATTATTTTATTATGCTCCTATACAATATTTACCAACAGCGACGACAGAGCAGAAGAATACTTGTGTTGTGAGTCATTAATCAATTAATAAAAAACAAAAAACTAATCTGATAGCATTTCGAAATTGTACCTAGTAGGTATTGCAAGCGATTGCATCAATAAACAGGCTGTGGGTACATTTTTAATTTATGCATGTTGCCTATTCATGAGTATATTTACGAAGATAAATATTTTATTTATCTAAACAAATATACATATAAAATTCGTCGCTTAAAATATTAAAACTAGTGACTTAATTACTATGGTCGTAGAGGCCCGGAGGTTAAGAAGCCCGCTTCCCATTAATGAGGGTGCGGATTTGAAACCTGGCAAGTACCAATGTATTATTTAGACATCACTGACATAGGGTGAAGGAAAAATCATGAAGAAACCTGGAGTTATGATTCCTAATTAATTGTAGGTTTGAAATCGTCAATCCGCCTTGATCAAGCCTGGTGATTAATGCTCAAATATCAGTGTGAGAAGAGGCCTTTGCTCAGCAGTGAGCATTTATAGGCTAATGATGTGTATATGTAAGTATGTATGAATTAACTAGTTACTCTAAGTTGCTAGTTCTGCAGATGATCACAAAGCATAGGTCATCACCCCTAAAGGAGGAGCTACTACTCATACTCATACTCATCTACTGGCGCCCATAGAGACAACGTTTATCTAAACCACAGAATACTGTATACATACCTAAGTAAGTATTACAAAACGCTATGGATAGATGAATGCAGTATTTGGAAATATTGAATATAAAACAGTGCAAGTGGTGAAGGTTATTCATATATCACACAGCTGTGACAAACGTTGAAATAGAAATATTGGCGAAATGCCGCCACACGCGACCATTCTGCTAGAGGTCGTATCAACAGTCTGCAACGAATCAACAATTGTTTCCAAATGTAATAACCGCTTTAGCAACGAAACTAGAGTTAATTGCTTTTGTTTATGTGCAAACTGGATAGATATCTAAATAAATAATTGATATCTTTATACAGGTACAAATCGAATGTCAATTAGGTACAACTTTTCTTGATTTAAACCTTGTTAAAAACTGTTCATGGATATTTTTACTTATACCTCTAAAGTTAATTTTGCATTTTGTATCCCAGCTGATGGTAAGATTGTTAACAGCTTGATAGACTATACTGTCGTGTCTGATTTTCGACTTTCGTATATGGTAAGTATTAAACATATCTATTTAGTTTGATCCTAAAAAGGGGACCAAATTTAGTTAACAAAATAAAATGGTAAGGTAGGTAGGTATATAATGGTGGGTAGGCAACTTACCTACTTTGTAGTTCACAAATAGGTAAATTAATAGGTAGTAACACTGTAACAATACCTACAAAGGTAAAGGAACGGACATTTGAAACTGAAAATAATTTGTTATCTAATGAACCCAATGATGTGTTTACCAGAAAGTAGTCCATTCCTTCTAATTCCACCATCAGACCAGCTTGATACCGAACTAAATTAACATCTGACTAGACACTTACATGTGGGGTTTCAGTAGCCAGGTATCTATAAACTATTAAGGAAAAGATGACATTAATTCCAAACTTGTTATCAATATGAATTGCGATATTCAGAATAGTACTAATGTATGAATATAAAAAAAATAGGATATCACTCTGTTCTGTTAGATATTTTTATCTGAGGGATCGTTGTGGGGCTATTTCACAATGATTACTATGTACCAGAATAAAATTATAATAAAGGCGCCAAATAAGTTTTCACCAAAGAAGCGGTGACCTATCCAAACTCATTATTGTCTACCTGAAAGGGATTCAATGATGATCAACCCTAAGATTTAATTTTGGCGGTCAAGCGGCGGAAGAAATTATTATTCATGATCGCAAATTGTCTAGAATCTAGAATAAATCTGTAGCAATCAATGTGATCACTAGGGAGCGGTTACACTTGTCATAAATGTGGTTTAATGTAAATATGCAAATGTAAGCGAAGAGGATCGAAAACTAGTTCGGATAAGTCATGTGTCCTTGACTTTTGATGCATTCAATCGATAGAAGACTATCAAATATCAATCCTAACTATCAGAATTCAAAATGACTAATAGATAAGTATAAGATCCTATGAAATTAATTATCAAATCCATATTAATTTGAATTTGAGCAGCCTTGTCAAGTATAACGACGGTTCTCTCGTTTTCCAATCAATTTGTATCATTATTATTATAGGTAGTGTCCACTTCTGGCCATTAAAGGACCTTCACACAAAAGATATAAAAACAGCGATCATCTCTATAATATCAATATCCTCATTTCAAAATTCTTAATTAAAAACGTAGTCAATATTATTGACCGAGTTATTTATTACTTAGTAATTCAATAAAAACATCTCATATGATTTATGTTTCGTATGAACGCTCCATTTTCATGAAGGCCTGTGGGACTGAAGATCGCTAAGCGCGCGTAGGCAGGATTTGAAAGACATGGACAATAATACACAGCATTATTTTTCTTATGACATTTTTGTTGAATGGACTTGGTTCTACCACAAAAACAATAAAAAATAATAATAGGGTAGTACCTGATTGTACTTACTTGACCCGTAACCACAGCAAAATAACTATAAGTACGTTCTCGAGTCGACCAAAGTTAACATTGCCAAAAATACTGCTCGACCGGAGTGGTACCTCGGAATCACAGTAAACCAGCGTGAAATAACCTCAGCGCTCAGAATACAGAACAAACCAGAAGGCGTCATCGCGCTTCAAACTGAAGCAACTAAAACCATTCTCAACTAGAATAGTATGAAATTTCTACGATTAGTCAATTTTGGCACGTGGCATGTCGTGACGTACCTATTTACGAGTATCAATTTTAATTTCATTATGCCGTCTTGTGTTATTACTACGAGTAAAAATGCGACTGGAATTACGAAAAAACTGGATAAGATTACATTTCATCTGCAAGTATCGACTGCAATAGTATATTTAATTAGTTATTGAATTTTTTTTATCGATTTATTTTTCTATGAAAATGATGCGGCCATTTTGTGAGTGTTGTCATTTTTGGTGAAAATTTTACCCACTTATTTATTTGTTGTGGGTTATATTTTTGTCCATTATGGAGCCTATGTCATATTAGTTTCCCTGACAAAAAAAATAAATACAAATCATACAAAGGGACGGTTAGATTAATTTTGGAAACCATCTAGCCAGAGCATAGTTTGCTCAATTCACTTTGAAGAGATATATTTATGACAAAGGTGGTTTGAAAACAGCATATCCTACTAAGATATATCTATACTAATTATAATGCTGAAGAGTTTGTTTGTTTGTTTGCTAGAATGCGCTAATCTCAGGAACTAAGTAAAGTAAGTAGACTTCTAATCTTTAGTTCCGAGTCTAAAGACAATACATATAAAAAACTAAACCAGCAAAAGGGAACGCAATAAAACCTTTGTACTTATTGAAGCTTTATTTTATTAGTTGCGTATAGTAGGTGTAACAAAAAATTAACAAATCCAGAAATCGTCAACTTTTATGATACCTCTATGAAATGTGTGAACAACTAGTCTGTTGCATTTATCGTAAGTTTACCTATTTTGTTGGGTTTACTCGTATCATACCCTCCTGTTGTAAAATTACCCCAAACCAAGGGAATTGTTCCACTGTCGGCAACACTACGCGGGTGGGAAGTGCGGCTGGCGGGGGGATTGACGTATTGTTTTTGGACACATTTGACGATATGTAATAAAATTATGAGTGAACGCGGCTTCTGGTTTGTTCTGTATTCTGAGCCTCAGCGTTGTGTTTCGCCGTGTGACTAAGTTCTTTAGGCCCAAATCTTCCCTCCTCATTCCTACCCAAATCCTGTGTCGTTTGTTGTTTTTCAATACGTACCTAATTAAGTAAAAAAATTATTTTTACCTTTTCTTATATCCATCATCATTATCATCAGCCTATAACTCTCCACTGCTGAGCAAAGGCTGCTGCCCACAAGGAGAAGGTTTGAGCATTAATCACCACGCTTGCTCAAGGCGGATTGGCGATTTCAAACTTATTTGAAATAGAAAATAAAGTCCAGGTTTCCTCAAGATGTTTTCCTCCACAGTTTGTCAGTGGTGTATAAATAATCAAAGAAAGTATATAGGTATATAACTCGGAAAATGGTCCATTAGTACCCTCATGCATGAGAAGCGGGCGCCTTACTCTCTGAGCCACCACGACGTATCTTATATACTCGTTTATCGTTAAACTTCGACTATCACTGACAGAA